TCCATGTCAGGCTGTTGCTGTGGGTCAGGTACAGCTCATGCCACATTCCTTGGGGCCACAGTGGCAGCTGTATTCGCTCAGATGCCCCCCCCCCTCCTCGTGGCTGGGCACGGGCTAGTCCCAACCAAAAAGAAGGGACAGGCTGAGGTCTGGAGGGCATGATGGGCCGAATCCTGTGAGTGTCTCCCCTCCCCTCAAGCCTCAGCATATCAGGGCCAGCCGGAGTGTCCACCCAGGCTAGTGCCATGCTGCAGGGGGAGAGGTGGTTGGCTAGGCGGGCCAGGGTGTAAGTCCCTGCTCTGCTGCTCCTGGCTGTGTGGTCTTGGGAAGGTTACTGAACATCTCTGGGGCTCAGCTTCCTCATCTCTCAGAGGGAAACCAAAGGAGGCTGTCCTTGCCTTGGCTGCTGAGAGGGCCCAGCATGGCGCACTATGTGCGTGGGGGAGCCCCCCAGGACCTGTTCCAATCAGCAGGCCTGCCTCTCTACACCATCAGGTCCTTCCCTAGCAGGATGCCACTGTCATCCCAGGAAGCATCGTCCCCAGTGGGCCAGGCATGTAGGTGAGGAGTCGTGGGAGGCCAAGGCCGGGTTTAGGCTCAGCGATCTGTCCTGACTCCGCTGCTTGCTTCCCATGTCCAGCAAGCTGTCCCTCTCTGGGGCTTGGTGGCATTGGGACAGCCCTGTGGGTCTGGTAGTCCTCCCAAGATCATGCGCAAGAGGAAGTGGATGCGGTCCCCGCCATGTGGCCCATGGGTATGTTGGGGGGGGGGGCTTGCCAGGAGGACCAGCTCCCCAAGGGAGGAGCCTCAGGACTGGGGTCCTGGAGGGCCCCCACCGAAAGGAGGCCAGGAATGGGGCAGAGACCAGGACCAGCCAGGGCCTGCCACTGAGCCACCAGCCACCTAGGTTGCACCCCCATATGGCCCCAGGAAAGAATGTTCTAGTGCCAACAGTGAGGGGAGTCAGGGGCAGATACACATTCACATCAGGAGAGTATAATAGTGAGTGTTTATTAGCGTTTACTCTGTGCCAGACACTGATTCCAGGCCTCTGTGTCCCTGCACATGGAACTCATGAGATCAGGGGAGGTGGAGGCCCAGGGGGTGACCCGGCTTGCCCACCTCCACGGGCAGAGCCAGCACGTGAACCCTGTCAGCCTCCAGGCCTCCTCCTGCCCACTGCTCCCCTCCCCTCCATCATGCCCGGTGCCCCTAGGGCCCTCGTGATGTGGCCTGGGGGCCTTCAAGCCTGTATGCAGCCCCCAGCAATCTCCCCAGGCTGGTCAGACTACCTGCTGCACAGATGCGGGGAGCTGAAGGTATCCGATGGGACAAAACCTAGCTCGTTCAGGTTGGGGTTCTCTCCATTCCTGGGTTTGATAAAGCAACCCTGTTGTTACCCAGGCGGCACTATTACTGATTTAAGGGAAACTAGGCTTTCTGAGGCAGCGAATGCATTTCTACAAGTGGCCACAAGGTGGCAGGATCGGGCCAGATTTGGAAAACCCTGCTCGCAAGCGGGCTTGGGAGAACAAAATTCAGCCTACCCCTGCTCCTCCCAGGGTCTCTGCCTTGGGAAGGGGGTCCTAACATTAACATTCTTCCCAGAGCCTCCCAGTAATAGATCTGATTTTATTCTGATACAAATATAATACAGGCCCCACTAATTTTCAGAACACAACGATACTTCTGGAAGGTGTCCCAGGTTGCACCTGTGGTTTTGGGCATCTGCCTTGCCACATCCGCTAGTGTTGGGGAGTCCCCCAAGGGGGGAATTCCCCTAGGCCTCCCTCCACCACCTGTTCTGTAATGCCAGGATGGAAATGGATAAAAGTCTCCTATCTGAGCACAGAAAAGTGCAGAGCCCACCTGTACCCTGATGCTGTAGCGGGCCCCGCTCCGTAGAGACAAATGTCCTTTTGCCCCCTCAGCCCTCTCCCCAGAATGCCCCAAGTTGTACTAAGACCTGTGGGCTCATCTGCTGTAATTCTAGAAGTGGCCACCAGGTGTCAGCACGAGGCCGCTCAAGCAGCCAAGCAGAGGTAACTCCTCTGCACTTGGGATTTCTGGGGGTGCCCCAGAAGTCTCCTGAATAAATGAGGTTCTGGCTGGAACCGCAGGACGGGATGATCCTCTCCCAGGCCCAAAGGCAGTGGGGCAATGAGGTTTTTGTTATGAGGTGTCCCTGCAAGCTTGGGGGAGAGTTTTAAATTCCCAGCGAGATTTAGTTCAATGGAGCACTCCAAATTTGTCCCTTTTGTGTTCCTTCCCACTACCTGTATCCCTTATTGGCCATGTGCTCTCCCTCCACCATGGAAAAGAAATGGAATGCAGGGCTGTGCGTCCCAGGCCTCACACCCACCTCCCTGACCCATGCTGCTAGTTCTGCCTCAGTGGTGCCATGGCTTAGCTAGTCTTCCATGGGCCCTTCCCACCCTGACCTCTATCCTCTGCTCCCCTCCCCTTGCTTAAGCACTCTGGGTTCCAAGATGCTGGTGGATTAAAATTGCCCCGCATGATTCCCTTTTGGGCCAGGCCTGAGATAGGAATCCAGATTAGGGCAGAACTCAGATTCAAGACACTGTTTTGGGGCTGGGAGCTTCCACATTTCCAGGAAATGATCTATGGGTTTGAAAGGCTACTTCCTTTTCAGCCCCTTAGCTTCCTGCCTTCTCAGTTTGGTGGGCCTCCTGTGGCACGGGTAAAATGGGTAAAATGTTCAGTAACTTTCCCAGGGCCACACAGCTCCTTATGTCTGGCTTAGAGTCAGCCCTTACACTCTCCCTAGCTCCACCTGTGGCTTGGAAAATCCCAACTAAGTCTTCCCATAAGGACCTGGCAGTAGCTCCTTGCAACATCTGGATATCTTGCAGCAGACACAGGGGACAACACAGGATGCAAAGCCTTCAAGCCACAGAGCCCACAGCAGAGTCAGAGCCAACATGAGCAGGTGACTGCTGTACCCCAAGAACTGTGGGCCGCTTCACACTGACTCCCTTCTATGTGCCCCAGACCTGGCTCAGGATCCTTTAGCATCCCTGCATCCCTCCCCATGCAAGAGTCCAGCAAGGAGTCCCACCTGCCTTCTACCTGTAGGGTGGTGTGGCTCTGGAGCATCTGCATCCTTTGGGACACACCTGCCAGATCTGAGTTCCCCCTCAAGTCTCTCTTCCCCACCAAAAGTCCTGTCTTCCCCACTGGATGCCCCATCCCTCCAGCTAAGGAAAGGAGTTCAGGTGAGGGCTTGAGAGAGAAAGGAACAGTGAGTGTTAAACCCAGCATGTGCCAGTTAGCTGGGTAAGCTGGGGTGCAGGGTGCTGGGGGGTGTGGGACTGGTGGCCTTCTCGGAAGTGCACATGTCTTTGCCTTTCAGTGAGTCTTTGCTCTGCTGCCTGCTCTCCCTGCAAGGTTGGAAGAAGGGTTTAAATTCCCAGCAAGATTTAGTCCAATCAGGCAGCACATCTGCCTGCCCATTCCCCAGCTGCTGATGGCTCTGAGGCTGTGCCTTGATTGGAGTTTCAGCCAGGCTCAAAGGCTGTGAACCCAACATCCCACCCTCAGTGCCTATGAGCAGGACTGGTGCTCAGAGCTGCCACCTGCCACCACACTTGTGGTGCAGGGTCCCTATCAGAAGTGATTGGTGAAGGGAGGAAACTCCCAGATGAGGCCCCTACCCCTAAAAGAAGAAATGATGTGAAGGTGCTGCACTGCAGCTGCCTTGGAAGCACCTAAAAAGAGTTTTTTCTGATCACTCTCGAACCCGGCTTCTTTCTGCATATGGCCCGTCGCCATTTTACCCGTGCCACGCCCACTGGCATACCAGGGTGTCAAGTGACTGCCAACTGTCAATCTCAGGAGGCCCCACCCACTCTCCACCCCTCCACATAGTCCCACCTCCTGGGGGAGTGCTTCCGGTCTGTGCCCCCGCCCACACACGCCTCTCCGTGGGGTCAGGGGGTGGGCCAAATCTCCACCCCCTTGTGCACTGTGCCCTGGCGTGAGAAGGTGCCACAGCCAGCTGCCCAGTGGCCCCAGCACCACCGAGTTGGCGCAAAGCTACCCAATTTGGAGGGGCTCGAGGAAAGGCGTGGAGGGGACGAGGAGGTGAGGGGCAAAAATAATTTCAATTGGCATTTGAGCAGGTGCTGTGCTCAGTGGTGGAGAGCCTCTCCCGCTTCTAGGGGCTATTATAATGCACACTCTAAAAGTGCCCTTCATCGTCTCTCCAGCCTCAACCTCGTCCCCCTCCTCCTCCTCCACGTCAACCCGGCTGGAGGGTCTGGGCACCACAGCCAGAGCACCCCTTACTTTGGCGGCGACTGCTAATATTGGCCCGACCAGCGGATCATCGGCCGGGCAGCTTCAGCAGAGAGGCTTGGGCACCAGTGACTCCCCGGTCCTCTTTATCCACCGCCCGGGAACTTCGGGGACTACGCAGCGACTAGAATACAGGTGACTGGGCTTCCCTCCCTCTTGCTGCAGCCTCTGTGTGAGAAACACTGCATGCTGTGTTGAGGCATGGGTGGCTGGGGGCTTGGGGCAGCTAACAGGATCCCCATTTCTGCAGGAGGGACAGAACCTCTCATGTCAGAGAGAAGGCCCAGGCAAGCTATTCTAAGAATAGCTTCAACTTTGGAGGGGACAGGAAAGACAAGTGGGGAGGGGGCTCCTCTATAGGCTGCACAGAGGCTTTTGCAGGGGAAATAGGTTTTCCTTCACTTATCTGCCAGGCAAAGTGGGAGGGGCAGGGGTGGAGGGTAGGGCTGCTCTTCTCAGCAGGAGTGAACAGCTGTTTTTGCAAATGTAAAAGGCAGGGCTTTTCTGTGTGAGAAGTTTGCAGTTGCTGCACCTCCCCCCACCCCACCACCACCGCAGTCCCAACCAAAGACAAACAGGAGACTGTGCAGAGGGGCCAGGGGCCTGAGATTTTGGAGCAGTTTTTTTTATACCATTTTAAAAGTAAAGCTTCCCCCCCCTCCCCACTCCCTACACCTCCCAACCATAACCAAAGAATCCCACTAAGTAATTGGAAAGGAGATTGAGGAGGAGGACAATGAAGGGCCATACACCTTGGTACCCCCACAGCAGGACTGAAAGAGTAAAGCTCCTCTCTCCCTGAAGGCCTGCCGGGTTCTCCTGGTGCCTCTCCTGCCCACAGAACCGTGTGCTGGGGCAAGGGCAATTTCCCAGGGGTGTGCATAATTCTGCACATGAAGTTTCTCTCCCTTCCACCCGGGGGTCCCAGACTTCTCCATACAGCCAATGTGGTGTCTGTGGTGACAGGTTTCATTTCCCAAGGGAAGCCCAGTGTCCCATCCCAAGGCTGCCATCCAGCTGATTTCTTCATACGGAACTGTGTCCTTTGGTTTATACCTGGCCCCCTCCTTGCTTCCACCCAAGGTGGGAATGTTGGAGTGGGTGGGGGTGTCATATAGTGTGCTGTGATCCCCCAAGGCAAGCCTTTTGTGTGCAGCCCCCACCCCATGCCCAGGCAGAAGTCCACACCAGCCAGGAAGGGACAGCCCACCCAACAGAAGGGTCTCTTGCCTCTTCATGGGCAGGCACCTTTGCAGGCTTGGCTCCTGGGAAGCCCAGCTCTAGGTGAACTGTGGGCCACTTTCCTCTTCCCTTGTCCTTTGAAAAAGGGGGAGCTAGGCAGCCAGAGGGACAGGAAGGGGAGCTGCCACCCAAAACCCTGGCAAGGTGACCTGCAGGCCTTCCCACCGAACAGCCAGGGGACAGGGAGGAAGGGACGATGCTCTGGCTTGGGGGAGGTTTGTTTTAAAAGTGCTCATCTCAGGAACACCTTTGTATTTTCCCCAGGGGCCGAAGAGTCACTGCAGAGCTCCTTGAGGAGGAGGTGGATCCCAAGCCCCGAGGCCCTGCATCTCATCCAGCAGAGCCCCCTGCCCAGGCTGCCCCCCAGCCGGAGCCGCAGCCCCAGTCACTGCCCGACCCGCAGCCGGCCAGAGCCGCCAGAGAACCCAGCCCGGAGGTGAGCTGCTGTGGCCTGTGGCCCAGGCGGTCGCCGCGCGCTCAGAACTGAGGCCCGCAGCCAGCCCCAGCCCCACAGAGGTGAGTGTCTTCAGACCCCCAGGGCAGGGCTGAGGTGTCCGCTGGCTTCGTTCTCCAAGTGTCAGCTCCCGGCAGAGGCCTCCTTTCCTTAGGTTCACGGAGCAACCCCCCCACCAGGCCCAGGGAAGCTGGGGCGCATTCAGAGTCACACCGTGGGCATCTGTGATTCAGGGGGTCTGGTCTGCTCCGCTCCGGGTGTCGGTCCCTGGGTCGCTCAGGTGTGGGCACAGCCGCTCCTTGCAGTCTGGGCTCCTCTGGGGGTCCTTGGAGGGGAGCTCCTGGCCAAAGAAGGGCAAGGGAGGAGGAGGGAGCAGCCATGGGAGAAGGGGAGGACAAGGACTAGGTGGGGACAGAATTGGAGGAAAGAGAAAACAAGCGGGTGGGGGGGAGAATTCATCAATTGCGGGGGCAGCAGGAGCCCCCAGGCAAGCTGGCTTCTGCTGGGGCACCTGAGACCCAGGTCCTTCCCTGCCCTGGGCTGCTGGGCTGTGGGGCCTCACACCGGTGGCTTGACCTCTCTGTGTCCTCATTTGTCAAAGTGGGTGGCAGTCTCAGACTCCTGGCTGTTCAGTTGTGAGGAGAAAGGGAGGTCGTGCCCCATGGGCAGGCGGCAGAGGGACTCTTGAGTGCTTCGGCCATAGGAGCCCCGGTGTCGCGATTCCATTGTGTTCGGCCAGAGGGGCTTCCTGTGTGTGTGAGTGAGGGGTGGGGGGTGGGGGGACTAGAAAGGCCCTCAGGCCAGAGTGCCTGGGACACTTCTGGAGCAAGCTCAGTGGTGGTGGCCACGCCGGTTCACGGACAAGGTACTGGGGTTGGGGGCACAGGCTGAGCTGCCCTGGAGGGGTGCTCTGCTCCAGGGTCCTGGGGAGCTTTGGAAGTGGGGGCGGGGTGGGTCTGTGTCCTTGCGCTGGACCCCAGAAGTGACTGAGGCCACCCTTCAGAGCGGGGGGGGGGGGGCGGGAACCCAGCAGGTGACCCCCTTCTAGGTTGGTTGGCCCATCTGAGAGACAGGCCATGAATGTTCTTTTTAAGGTGTCTTTATTTCTGACCCTACAGAAAACAGTACAATAGTGGCCTTGCCTGGGTCCTTCCCCAGCACGCCTACTCAGCCCCCCCCCCCCCCCCGCGTCCTCCACCCAGCCCCTAACCCCTACCTACTTTTGGCTTTGGTTTATGGAACAGTGGTTTGTGGCGCCTTTGTGCCTTGGGTGGCTTGAGCTGTCGTCGGGTCCTGGTGGTTCCGGCTGGGTCCTTGGTCCCTCGCTTCTAGCCAGGGCTGACGCTGAGCCGGGGTCCCTCCTGGAGCCCAGTGCAAGGTCTGAGCCTCAGCGGCCGGTGCCCTGCGGTGGGTGAGGGAGGGGTGCTCAGGGACCCTCGGAGAACAGAGCAGAGTTTGCAGAATGCTGGGCTTGGTCCCAGGGAGCGGGAGCAGCCAGCTCAGAGCCAGAGCTGTGGGAGGACACCGGGAAGGAGAAAGGCTGCCTGCTGGGAGCAGGGGAGTGAGGGAGCCGGGAGGCGGCTCGAGAGCAGCCGCAGGCCTGGGGCGTAGGGGCCAGGCTCTTAGGGTGAGTCCAAATTTGGGGGGGATGATTATTCTCTGTGGAGCATGGGTTTGCGGTCTGCAGGGAGGCTCGTGCTGCCGCCGGGGCTGGAGCAGGGCAGGAGCAGGGCAGGGGGGAGGGTGGCTGGCGCTAGGGCTGAAGTTCTGCCAGCCGGGCTCTGGGCAGGAGAGACCCCAGTCCCGAAATATGCTCGGGCTACTGCAGTTCCCTTCCTACCGTGGAGGGCCGGAAGTCGGGGAGAGCCTGACGCTGTCCTGGCTGGGGGCAGCCAGTGCCTTTTTGAGCCCTAGGGTGACCCGGATCTGCCCCTTCCCAGCCTGCCCCTTTAGCCACACTTTTGACTAAATAAGGCGAGGGTTCAGCGGGCAGCCCCGCGGGGTAGAGAGCGCATGTGCACCCCCCCTCCTTGCCCCCGTGGCTCAGCCTGGCACCCCAAAGTGGCCTCAGCCTTCCTACCTCCAAGGTCCAGGCAGAGGCCAGAGGGGCACGTCTCCAAGCACCGGGCAGAGGCTTCTCCAGGGCAGGCTCCTGTGTGGGCAGAAAGCAGGGGAGGGACCCACTGAGAGGCTGCTGGTGTGGTTGCCCCCCCACCACCCCCAACCAGGGGGAAAGCCCACGCTTTGGAAAGGGGCTCTCACCTCAGCACCCCATCCCACTCCCAGCCTGGGAAGCAGGCCTGGAGGAAAGGTGGGGGGCCCAGAGCAGAGCCACAGGGAGCCCTGTGTTTGTCCATAAGCAGAGGCCCTCCGGAGGGTTTGGAATCTGCTCTGGGCTCCCAGGGACCCAGTTCCCTACCCCCAAATTCACAGGTCTCCACGCATTGGGGAGCGACTTCAAGGCACCCAAGGCTTCTCTGCTGGAGGCCCTCTCCTCACCCTCCCTCTGTCCCCAGGCACACCCCACGCCCGCACAGGCCTGAGAGCCAGGGGCGCGGGAAGCTACAAAGCTGGTGGAGGGGGGAGGGGGCGGTGATGGGGGGGCAGGCCAGATGTTCTTGGAATGGGACACGGGGTGATTGATGCGGACTGGAATTTGAAGGGGGAACATTCCCCACGTGCCTGGGGCTCTGGGTGGAAAATGGGCTGTTTTTCATGGTGGTGTGGGGGGGGAGTCTCCCTGTCTTGCCAAAATAACGTGAAGAGTCCCGCACCTGTCCAATGGCATTAACCCCTGCCTTCCCAGAGTGTCAGGCTTTGAGCCGCCCCCTTCTAACTGGGGTCCTTCTCTGGGGTGACAGTGGGGACAAGCGGTGCCCGCTGGAGGGGCCCCAGGATCCCCACCATTTCTCTGTCCCCGGCAATGCCTCCTTCCTGGGAGCTCCGTACCCCTCAGATGCCCCCCGGGGTCGCTGCCCCCCACCTCAACAGTGCTCAGTCCGAGGTGGTGACCGTGTTCGTGGCAGCAGCGCCTTGCGCCTGCGCTGCTTCAACCCTGGCTTGTGAGCGACTGGGCTTTCCCAGCCGGGCTAGCGAGGCTCTGCGTGAAAATTCCCTTTGCGAAAACGAAAGGAGACCCCTGGCGCCCCGGCCACCGTGCAGGGCTGCCCCCATTCCTTCTCCCCGATGTCTCTCCTCTTCTTCCCCATTCCCGCCCCTCCTTCGTGTCACCCAAGCAAAACTGGCTTCGCCCCTGTGTGGGGACTGGTTGAGGCCCGAAGGGCGCTCGCGGAGCGCCTCGGCGCGCGGGGGTGGCCGTCTGGGGTGCTCCCGGGCCCCCAAGCCGAGCCGGGGACGAGCCTGCCCGCGGCGGCCGCCCGGCCGCGGCTTCGCCTAGGCTCGCAGCGCGGGAGCGCGTGGGGCGCGGCGGCGGCGGGGAGCGCGGGGCCGTCCTCGGAGGCGGCCGAGCGGGGAGCCGGGAGCCCCGCGAGCGCCGGGGCGCCGCGCCCAAGTCGCTCCCTCGCGGCTCCCGGGTTCCTCCCTTCCTCCCGACGCCTGCTCGGCGGGGCTGCCGCCGCACGCGCGCTCACGGCGGCCAGAAGGCCAAAGAAAGAGCGGCGATACTCCTTCCGGGGCGCGCGCCCCGGGGAGCCCCGCGCTACCTGCCCGCGCCGCCCGCGCCCGCGGCCCCCGGGGAGGGCGCCACTGCTCCGCGCGCGAGCCCCCAGACGCGGGGGAGCGGCGGCGGCGCGGCGCCTCCCGGCCCCGGGAGCCCCGCCACTCCCGTGCGGCCCTCCACCTCCGGGGTCCCAGCCCACCGAGCGACCTCCCTGCTCCCACCGAACGCGGACGTAATTTTTCCTGGGATCCTCCAGATGTAAGGCTCGCTCCCAGGTCCTCCCAACACATCCAGCATTTCCCCAGGCCACAAGAATTTTCTTGGACATCAATTTCCGGGGACCCCGAGAAAAGCAAGCCCTTCGCTGGCTTCCCCAGATTCACCTAGTGTCCTGGAACCCCAGACTCATTGGGCAGGCCCTTAACAGCCTTATATACCGTGCTCCATACCCCAGCGGTTTACACATCGCCGACCCGGGATCCCCTACAATTTCAACGTTAACCCCGGGTCCTGTGGTCGTCACGCTGACCAATTTGCCTGGCTCCCCAGAAGGCGGACGGTGTTTTTCTGGCACTTAGGTGCCGTCTCTCCGAAACAAGTGGAGCTTTTTCCCTGTGCCTCCATAATTTTGGACCTTAACTGCAGGGTCTCCCAAGCTAGTATACTTGTCCCAGTTCTGGCTCCCCCACACTGAAGCCCTGTTCCCCGGGCTCCCCACAGTTTAGGACGCTGTCTGCGGGGTTCCACAAATTTATCGGCATCAGCCCGGGTTCCCTAAATTTTACACAAAGATTCCCAGGTCCCCCTAATGCACGAAGCAATTTTCCCAGAACCCTCAGAGTTTGAACGTGGCTTCCTATTCCTTTCCTAAAATTGAGGCATTGCACCCAGTGCACACCAGGCCCTTTTCTCAATCCTAAATAGTCTGCACTCTGGTTTCCTGACTTCCACAAAGTTGGGAGGATGATTTCTGACCCCCAGATCTCATTGAGCAATATTTTTTTTTTGTTGGGGGGGGGATGAAAATTCGGTGAGTTCATTTACAGGACTCTCCAAGCTTCCTGGCCACTAATCAGGTCCCTTATGGATTAGACACTGTCACCCAACCCCGGAAAGCACACTGAGCAATTACTGGAGATGTGCTTCCTTGTGGCCCTGTGGGTTGGGCAGATTCCCCTGGGTCACACCACGCAGGAAACAAACCCTTTGCACAAAGCCTACATCTCCTTGTACCAGGTTCTGTTGGGTGTCCCCAGTAACCAAATATTGGGAACATGTTCTCTTCACCATAACATTTTGAGTATTAAAACATTCCCTGTGTCCCACTGGCTTACTGACAAAAATCCGGATTTTCTGAAATTCAGGCAGTGATCTCAAACCCCAGGATGACACTGGACCCTTTTCCTGATCCCTTATATTTGAACATGCTGGGCTCTCTCAAATATCATGCATTGCCCTCCAGGCCCGAAAACACAGTCAGTGCTACACTTGGATCACAGAAAGACACTGATTTCTTGGATTCCAGAGCATTCTGCATACCCACAAAGTCACCCAAAATGTAAGCAACATTTCCTGGGTCTCTCACACACTGCAAGCTCCCTGTAGATCACCAATTTTGGACACTGATTCTCCAGGCCTCAAAACCTACGGACTCTTAATCCTTTTTCCCTAAAACTTATTGACCCCCAGTTTTCCTGAGGACACTGAGCAACTTCCCTGGATCTCCAGATTCAAAAATTAGTTTGTGGGGGCCTCCAAATTGAGACATGTCTCCCAGTCCTCCAAAATAAATTGGGACTCCCCCTCCAACAAAACAACTGAGCTTTTTTTGAACATTGATTTTTGAGTCTCCTGATTTTATGACCCTTGCTCCCCAACTCCCCCTAAATTCAGGCAACTTTCCATGCCCCCCCCCAAATGAAAATGTCCAGGGATCAAAAAATATCCTAGAAACCCTAGGTCTTATGGGCCTGTGTCCTACAGGCTTCCAGGCTATTACCACTGGTCCCTGAGATTTAGACATCTGCCTCCATTGGACAATTCCCATGGATCCCCAAAACTTGGGACATGTTTTGCTAGGGTTCCCCAAATGCAGACAGTGACCAAGCAAACAGGATATTTTTTCGTGCTCACCAAAAATAAACTAATTGAAACCAATTAAAAATTAAAATATAAGCGGACATGGATTTTTCTGCATTTCCCAAATATACTGATCACACCCCAGGTTCCCCCAAGTTTATACCGTGTTTCTTGAGTCTCTAAAGGACACTGTGAATTGGCCCCAGACCATGACAATTAAGGAGGTTACTTCCTTGGCGGCACTGGCTTCCAGGCCACTAATTTTGCATTTCTAAATTGTGGAAGTAAATCTCTACTTCCCTCCACCACACTGAAATTTCCCCTAGATCCCCAAAATGGGTTCAGTGTTTCTCTCCTCCCAATTTCAGATAATGTGCCTCTGAGGTTCCCCCCACCCCCCACGTTTCATGCTGAGAATTTTCTCAGAGTCACCCAAAACCTATCTCCCACAAATTGGCCTGGGGTTCCCCTAAGCTTGTTGACCAAGATGCTGAGTCCCCCCTATTTCAGAATCGAATTTCTTGTTCCCTCCCCCCCACCCTTTGTACTGAGCAATGTCCCCTGATCCTTCAAACTTGGACCCTGGATCCTGAGTCTCAAATGTTGTCACTGATTACAGTTCCCCACACCAACGGGGCCTCCCTCGGGTCTCCTGCGACGGGACACTACTGCTCTGAGCCACAAACCAGACAGAGCTCTGACTTGCGTTCCCGACATTTGGGCATTGTTCCCGGCCCGCCGGCAGCCCTCTGCACTTTTTCCAACCCCGAGCGGTGGGTACTGGTTTCAGCCTCTCTTCGTCTCCTACGAAGGCCCCCGAACTCCTCGGATTTGGGAAATTTCTCTCTCTATTCCCCAACACACTTGGCCCTGCAGCGTGTCCGCCAGGACGTGGGCAGTGCTGCTCCCGCGTCCAGGAAAACGACTGGGCATTGCCCCCAGTTTCCCCCAAATTTGGGCATTGTCCCCGGGTCTTCCAACGGACTGGGCGTTGCCCCCGGACACTGGGGACTGCCCCCGGGGTCTCGCTCACCTTCAGCAGCGTCCACCGCCGCCGCAGAGAGCTCGCTCGCTGCCTCGGCTCCTCGCGCGCCCGCGGACGCAGCTTTCAGCCTCCAGCCTCCAGCTTTGCGGTGAGCTCCCCGCCGCCTCCGCGGCCCCGGCCGGCTTCCCCGCCCGCCCCGCCACCGTCCCGCCGGGGCCGGGGCTCGCCTCGGGCGGCCGCCGGGGACACGAGAACGGGGCGCAGGAGCCTTTTGAGGGCTTGCGGCTCGGCGGCCGCGCTCGCTGGGACCTGGCGCCCCGAAACCTGCGCCGCTTTCGTTTGCTCTTTGCAAAGATCACAATCGTGGGGAAGGTGCCTCGGTGGCCCCAGAGCGGGGAGGGCCGGGCGCTGGGTCGGAGGGACGCCGAGGAGAGGCGCACCCCGTTCGGGCGGTGCGGCGCCTCCAAGTCCGCGGGGCAGGGCAGTCGGGGAGGCGCGCGCTGAGCGCGGGCGAAGTGATTGATGGCGGAGCGAGGGGGCGAGCCGGCGCGGGCTTCCGCCGGCGGCGTCCCCTTCCCCTCGGAGAGGCGCGGGTGGCCGGGGCGCCGAGGGGCGGGCGGGGCGCCGGGGCTTGTGCGTGGTTTTGACTTGGTAAAAATCACGACTTCTTTACGTCGTCCAAACTCTCCAAGAGATGGTTTCCCCAGACCCCCAAATTATCGTGGTGGCCCCCGGGGCTGAACCCGACTCTACGCGAGTCCAACGCACTGAGGACAGGGGAATCATTATCCGGATATTTTGGGCGGGCCCCAAAGGCGAGCTGCTTAGACGAACCCCCGTGAGTTCGGTCATGCAGGTAGGATTTGAGCGCTGTTTCCCTCCCTGCTTTTCCCTCCCCGGCTAGGCGCAGCCGCGGCAGGCCCCACGTCTGGCTTCCATGTGGGCCTGGCGGGGCCGGCCCTCCCCAGGAACCGCACCTGGCGGCCGCCGCAGCTACACCCCGGCTCCCGTGTGGCACCGGGGGGCGCTCAGGCTCCGGCTGCCGCGACTTCAGGCGCCGCGCCTGCTCGGGCAGGTGGCGGCTGCGCGCCCTGCCCGCGCCCGGAGGTTCCTCCGTCCCCTACAGCTCCCCGCGGGACTCGGGGACCCCAGACTCGGCGCCGAACCACCTGCGCCCTCACTCTTGGTCCGGCGCCCCCGCCGCGTAGCCCCGCGCCGGCGCTAGGGCCTGGGACACCGCCCACCTTTCTCGCTTCGCGCCCCCCGCGCGCGCGAGCCTAGAAACCCCTGGTTCCCCGGAACCCGAAAGGGGGAGCCCCCCAACACTTTAGAACGGAGACTCGGGGTTTCTTTCGCATTCTTCCGCTCCCCGCCCCCAACTCAATCTCTCCGCGAGCACCCCCCAGCCCCCCCCACCGTCGCCCCGGACCCGGGGCCCCCCAGCCCCTCGCCCTCCCTTGCTCGAGCTGCAGGGGCGGTCCGGAGGGCGGGGCCAGCGCCCCGAGGGCGCCCATTGGCGCGGGCGCGGGGCCAGCGGGGCCCGAGCGGGCGCCGCGCCGCGGGGTGGCGCGGCTATAAGAGTCGGGCGTTGGCGCCCGCAGTTCGCCTGCTCTCCGGCGGAGCTGCGTGAGGCCAGGCCGGCCCCCGGCCCCCCCCTTCCGGCCGCCCCCGCCTCCTGGCCCACGCCCGCCCGCGCTCGGCCCGCCAGCGCCTCCATCCGGCCGGCGGTCCCGCGTCGTCGCCGCCCGCTGCCACGCTGCTGACTCCCGCCTTGGGCGCCGTCGGCGGGGCCGCGCTCCGCCGGGCCTGCGGATCCCCGCCGCCTCCTCTTCCATCTACCTCAACGCCCTCCCCGCTTCGCCCGAGGAGGCGGTCCCCCCCGCAGGCAGTCCGGCTCGCAGGCCGCCGGCGTTGTCATCCCCCGCGCTGCCCCCAGCCCTCCCCGGCGCGCGGCCCGCCGCTTCCCTCCTCGCCGCGTCCCGAGCGGCTCGGCGCCGCCACCGCCAGCCCCCCCCCCCAGGGCCCGGGCTCGCGACGGCCGAGGGCTCCGTCGGCCCAATCCGAGCTGGGCGCCCGTGGCCCGGGCGATCCTCCGCTCCGCCCCCCTCAGCACCGTCCCCGGCCCTCGACGTTGCGCCCTGCCCTCGCTTCTCTGTGCTCCCCCGTCCCCTCTCTAGCCTCTGGCCCCGGCGCCCGCGCTCCGCTCTCCCGCAGCCTGCCCTTCGCTCCCTCCCGCCCCCCCCAGCTCCTCGCCTCCGACTCCCTCCCCCTCCACGCCCGCCCTCTCGCCTCGCCGTCCCGAAGTGGATTAATTATACGCTTTCTGTTTCTCTCTGCGCTGTTCTCCCCCGCTGCGAGCCTGCCCGCCTCTCGCTGTCCTCTCTCCCTCTCTCCCTCTCTTTGGCCCCCCCCTTCACGTTCTCTCTGTGTCTCTCACTATCTCTGCCCCCTCTATCCTTGATACAACAGCTGACCTCATTTCCCGATACCCTTTCCCCCCCTAAAAGTACAACATCTGGCCCGCCCCAGCCCGCAGACAGCCCGCCCTCCCCAAACAATCAGACGAGTCCCCCCCCAAAAATAAGCCATCCCCCCGTTCTGCCCCGTCGCACATTCGGCCCCCGCGACTCGGCCAGAGCGGCGCTGGCAGAGGAGTGTCCGGCAGGAGGGCCAACGCCCGCTGTTCGGTTTGCGATACGCAGCAGGGAGGTGGGCGGCAGCTGCGCCGGCTTCCAGGTAAGCGGCGTGCGGGCCGGCGGGGCGGGGAGAGGGACCCGGGCAGGCCCGGGGTGGGGGTCTGGGGGTCCGGCTCCCTGTGGCGAAGCCCGCGCCCTCCCCTGCGCCGCCCAAGTGGGGGTGGGCGGGTAGGGGCTTCGGGAAGTGCCGGGGAGGTGTGAGCTGTCTGCAAAGGCGACTTCCTGGTCGGTTTGTGGGTGCAGGGGGCTGTTGCTGAGAGTCTGCGATCCGTGCCGTGTGTGGGGGAGGGCGCTGTCCCCCAGGGTGTTGGGTAATGAGGAGGGGCGCACGGCTCAGAAACCCACCCTGGTATGTTGACTCCGTGCCAGCAAGACTGAAGGAGGAAAACGGGGTGGGCGGGGCCAGGATGGAAGAGGGGGCGAGCTGGCAAAAGGCTCAGACGAGGCGCCACATTTGCAGTTGGCCCCCCCACACACACGCCCCCCCTTTCCCTGTCCCCAACATTTCCACCCAGGAATCTGGGGAGAGGGGCTGGTTGGAAGCTCAGATGAGCAGGAGCGTACAGCCCATAGAGGGTAACTGCCCCTGCCCAGTGGGCAGATGGAACTTTCCATACAAGGAGGTGTAAAGCAGCCCCCCCTTCTTCCCCTCCCCCCCACTTTGCCTTGTGCCTAGATGGGCTGGGGGTGCAGGATGAGCCCCCACCCCCACCCCGCGGTACTTCGCGGAGGGATGGTCCAGGGCTAACTGTTGGGGGTGCAGGAGAGAAGGGACTGGCTGGGAGGACGGAGGGGGCGGGAGCAAAGGGGGCGGGGGGAGTGGTCAGCAGGGAGAGGGGTGGGGGGTAGGGTGGAGCCCGGGCTGGGAGGAGCCGGCTCAGACATAAAAGCTGGAGCACTGACCAGCCAGCAAACTGGACATTAGCTTCTCCTGTGAGGCAGCCTTCCAGCCTCCTCCTCCTCCTCCTTCTCTTCCTCCTTCTCCACCAGTCCCAGCAAGCCTCCTGTCCAGCTGCAGGTAACCAGGGCTGTTGAGCGAGGACCCCTCTGCCCTCTCGCTCCGGCCTGCTCGCCTGCTGATGGCCTCGGGCCTCACCCCCTCCACCTCTCCTCTCTGCCTCTATCCTCCTCACCCCTACCCTCCCTCTCTCCTCCCTCCTCCGGGGCTTGCTTACCTGGCCCACACCTCTGCCTGCCTCGTGCCTCTCCTCATCGGGCCTCTGCTCTCTGCGGGTGCTCTGGACCGGACCCCGCACTGGAGTGGCCGGGCTTGCAGAAGGACGCAGCTGCCGCTCGGCCGGCGCCCAGTCGCTAGCTGGCCAAATTGTTCTTAGAATTTGGAAGGGGGCAGCAGCGGGGGCAGCCTGGGAGCCTGGCTGGGGCCGGGGCTAGGGCAGGAGGAGGTGACCAGGGTGGCACTTGAGATCCTTCTGTGGATCTGGCCACTGCTCTTCATCCAATTTCAGCGGAGGCTGCGCTCCCTTCTTATTCCCCCTTCTCTCCTCCACGATTTCTGGCATCAGAAAATTCCCTGGGCCTCCCATGCAGCAGCCGGGCTCCAGGCTGGGAAGGGGCATGCTGCCTGGACCCCCCCATGCCCACCTGGTGTGGAGCCTGGGAGGGGCACCTCTGGGCAGGCTGCCTGGCCCCTGGCTTGGGTAGCATCAGGGTGCCAGGGGCTCAGAGGCCCTGGGCCGTGACTGTCGCCCCAGAAGGGGTTTGTACCTGGGCCAGCGGAGGGCAGGCTGGGGCTGCCTGCCTGGATGTGGGGGGGGGGGGGGGTGGCGAATCCACTTTCTGAAGGGAGCAGGGGCAGCTTGCTGTATCCACAAGAGAGCCTGAGGCCCCTCCTGAGCCCCCCGGCCCTGGAGGGACCTTGTTAACCCTTGCCCGGGGCCTGCAGCTGCACACCCTGTGCAGGGGGTGTGTCCTTCCAGGTTGGGCTCCAAGGACCTGGTGTCCAGCCTCCAGGTGGCCTGACCTGTTCTCTCCAGCTCCCAGGGTGGGCTTTGGTACCCCCGTGGGGGAGAGGGTCTGGTGATCCCAGAGAGACCTCGAGGCCCTGGGTGCTGTGATGCCAGGCGTGCAGAGGAGGCTTCTAGTCTTTGTGTTTTGGGGTGCCCAGGGCACTCTGGAGTGGAGGACTGAGCGATTCAGGAGAACAAGGCCCCTGGGAGTGTGGTTGGCACCATGCGGTAACCACCGGATCCTTGACCTGAGCTTTGCGCAGCCACAGACTGGGAGGGTGGGGGAGGGGGCAGGGGTGGGACTGGCCCAGCAGGACCCTCTGCTGCTTGCAGGGGGGCGGGAGGGTGGTCCTCTGGGATGCACATGCTCTGTGGTGGGGTGGGGCTGTCTGCCATCTTGGCTGATGCTGGGAGGTCTGAGGAGTGGCCACTGCCCTTTGCTGGCCCCGCCCCCATGACTTCATAGGACAGAGGCCAGGTTCAGTGTCCAGCACTGGCCCCCGCAGCTCCGGGTGTGGCCGAGCCCCTGCAGTGGTGACGATGGGGAGGATCACCCCCATGTGGAATTGCCGACCAGCACTTGGTACGGATCAGAGACGTGCTTCACACAGGTCCACTCAGCCTCGGGGCCACCGCGCACCCCGCCTTGGGCAGTGAGAGCACGTGTGATTTCTGTAATTAAAGTGGTCACATTTAGGAGAACACCATGCTCTAAACCGAACTTGGAATTAGGAGATGGCTAGGAGGGTGTCTCCGTCGGAGTCGGGGCGGCCTCTGGCCCTGGATGTGGCCTGGGAGGGCAGGCTCATGGCCTCATCTCTCCGCCCCCAGATGCCGATGGGGGTCCCGATGGGGAAGCCGATGCTGGTGCTGCTGACCTTCTTGGCCTTGGCCTCGTGCTGCTTTGCTGCTTACCGCCCCAGTGAGACCCTGTGCGGCGGGGAGCTGGTGGACACCCTCCAGTTTGTCTGTGGGGACCGCGGCTTCTACTTCAGTAAGTAGCTCAACGTGCGGTGGGGCAAGGGGGAGGGCGTACACAGCAGGTGCTCAATAAATGCTGGAGTCCTCCGCGCCATTTCCCAGATGCCCAGGGATACCCTCCGGGATGCCTGGTGTGGGGGGCCAGGTGGAGGGAAGCCACTGCAAGGTGGCGACCCCAAGCTCTCTTGTTCTGAGACTTCATGAGCACAACTGTGTCCACATTTATTGGGCACCTGCTGTGTGCCCGGGTGGTGCTCACACCCCTGATTTTCCTGCAGCATGACTCAAAGTAGAACACTCTCCTCCCAGGAAGGGTGGGATCTGCGTGGGGGCCGGAGCATGGCAGGCGTGTGGGTGGGGGTGCAGGGTGGGCTGGACAGGGTGGGGGGGTAGGCCCTAGCAGGGAGGGGGACTTACCCTCCCTGCCTCCCTGGGACCTGCTTGCGGGCAGGGCTGTGAGCACTGAAGTTCCCCCCACATTTTCATGGTGCCTGACATTTTGACAGTGGGATTATCTGATTTAAAGTTAGATAAAATGGGTCGGAGACCAGTAAGAACAGAAGCGTCTGCCCGCACACCCACATGGGGGTGGGGGAAGAGAGGAGTGCCTGCCTACACAACAGCACTGGGGGAGGGGACGTGCACCCCAGGGGCGAGCCACAATGTGGGGTGCCCACCTGCCCGCCCAAGGGCTCTTGGGTTGTTCCTCCTGCTTCTCTCTTGATTTTCAACCCCCGGCGGACTTTCCCTGAGACCTCTGCTTCTCCTTGCCTCGTCCCTCTGTGGGACCCCCGAGTTGGAGGTGACCTCTTCCTCAGGGGTGTGGGCCCTTGCCCTCATCTCCCAGAAAGCTGGGCCTCAGTTTCCTCATCTATAAGATGGGCGGGGGAGTGTTTATCTGGATAACAGGAGGAACGGGGGCGGGGGGGCAGGCCCAGGCCGACCCTGAGGGTGGGGTGGGTGGGGGTGGGGACGTGACTGGGGTGAGTTGGCCACCGCCCTCATGGTCAGACCCAGCCCTCCTCCCGTGGCATCCCCCTCTGTAGCCTCAACTTACCCACAGACGCCAGCCTTGGATTCTCAAAGCTTCTCTCTGAAAAGCTCTCCTGCTTGTCCTTGCTTCTGAAACCCTACCCACCCTGGCCTCGCCTGTGCCCTCTCTCGCGCCTGCCTCGTTTGGGGGCAGGAAGTGTAGGGTCTGGTGCCCAGGGAGTGGGTCCCCTGCCGGGAGGGCCGGGCCCCCACCCGCGGGACCTCCTCCCCAGGGCGCCTGCCCTCGGCCCCCCAAGGTGAGGGCCGGGACTCTTCCTTGCAGCTGACCTTGGAGCCTGAGCAGCGGAGGGACGGGGAGGACGGGAGGAAAGGAGGACGTGGTTTCATGCAGGTCCTCACTCCTCCCCTCCCGTCTTCCTCTTCCTCTCCCAAGCCTGCAGCGTCTCGAGGGCTGCGGGCCGCCCAGGCTCCTGCTCTGTTCAGGGACGCCAGTTGCGTCCCAGCCTGGCCTTCTGGATGGGACCCTGTGCCCCCCAGCATGGGGGCTGGACCCCTCGTGGGCGGCCCCCTCCCCCGAGCCGGGCTCCCCGCCGGCACATTTTCCCTACCTCCCTGGGCAGCAGGACCAGGAGGCTGTGTCCACCTTCCACGCGAGCAGGGAGGCACCAAGAGGCCAGGGGCTGGTCCTGGATCACACACCCCCCCACTTCCACTCCTGTCCTTCCTGGGCACCCCGCCTGCCCACTCTCTCCCCCTTCCTCCACGAGGCTGGCTGCCCCTGAAGGCCCGCCCCCCCCGGTGGTCCTCCTCCTCTCCTCCCCGCCCCGCTCCGGCTGGCCACGGCCAGAGGCCAGCTCCAGGGGACCGTGCGGCCGGTGCTCAAGTGCAGCTCTCCTTCCCCCTGTGGGACTTCCAGGCAGGCCGGCAAGCCGCGCGAGTCGCCGCAGCAGCCGTGGCATTGTGGAGGAGTGCTGTTTCCGCAGCTGTGATCTGGCCCTTCTGGAGACCTACTGTGCCACCCCCGCCAAGTCCGAGAGGGACGTGTCGACCCCTCCGACCGTGCTTCCGGTAAGAGGGGACCCGGTCTCGGCGTGGGGGGTGTCGCCTCGGAGCCAGGGGACCAGGGCACGTGGCACGGCTGGGGTGCACTCACCTGGGTGCCGTGGGTGCGGACGTGGCCGGTCACCCACCGGAGGGTGAGCGTGGAGCCCCCGCAGGCCCCCGGCGAGCTGGGTGCCCCCTGACTGGCCCTTCCCCTCTCAGGACAACTTCCCCAGATACCCCGTGGGCAAGTTCTTCCAATATGACACCTGGAAGCAGTCCGCCCAACGACTGCGCAGGGGCCTGCCTGCCCTCCTGCGCGCCCGCCGGGGTCGCATGCTCGCCAAGGAGCTCGAGGCGTTCAGAGAGGCCAAGCGTCACCGTCCCCTGATCGCCCTGCCCACCCACGACCCCGCGGCCCACGGGGGCGCCTCTCCGGAGGCGTCCGGCAATCAGAAGTGAGCCAAAATGTCGCGTAATTCTGCAAGACGGCACCGTCCACCTAGTGCCCTCCTCTTGACCAGGGGCCGTTCCACCGGGCCCCGCCTCTGACATCTCTCGGGGTCACATGCCCTCTGCGGGCTCCCCCATCCCCAGCCCCCGCGCCCCAACCTCCCCATGTCAGGCTCTTCTCTCCTTGGCCCCCTCCATCGGGCTGAGGAGATCCTAGCAACATCTCTAAAAATGTACAAACTCGATTGGCTTTAAATATCCCCCCAAAATTACCCCCCAAATTATCCCCAAATTGCACAATCGAAAAACTAAAACTACGAACCCCTAAATCTCACACACACACCAGTCCCCTTAAAATGAATTGGCTTTTTAGAAACACCAGGAACGTTAATTAGCTAAAAACAAAAACAAAAAAACCTAAAATTATCAATTGGCTAAAAAAACCCACCCAAACTGAATTGGCTTAAAAACAATTGGCATCATGAAAGAATTAGGCCCCCCCCTTTCCTTCTCTTCCCCAGGGACCTCGAGTCAGATTGGCCGTGAGCTCGGGCGCCTGGCCTCCAGGAGAAAGGAAGGGACCCCAAATCTACAGGTAGGCACGTCATGGTCCACTGCCGGCTCTGGCCTCCTCAGGCAAAACTCTGGTCGCATTTGGGGAGAATTGGTCATCCTCAGAACAGCAAAGCCCCAGACTCGTTCCTCGCTCTGTTTCCCATCCTTGAAAGTCACCATGGAGCTAGATGGGGGTTCCCAGTGAGACCGAAGGAGGGGAGAACAGAACATGAACACCGAAATCTGTGAAAAGAAACTTTAATTGGCACAAACCCCCCTACACTCTAAAATCCATCCTCCCCAAACCCACATATCCCAAAATCTTACATCTCAGTTTCCACCCTTAAAAACACCCACACACCCACCTGCATCCCTGCAGACACGCCCTTACATGCATGCACACACACACACCCTTGTGCACATATGCACACGCACGCTCACACACACATGCACACACGCACACCCTTGTGCACATATGCACACGCACGCTCACACACATGCACACACACACCCTCAACACACACATGCGCACACACTCACACATGCACACACACGCACGCACACATGCACACGCACACCTTCACACACACACACCCTGCTGCACACACACACCCTCCCACGCACACCCTCCCACACACGCACACTGTCATGCACATGCACACCCTCACACCCATGCACGCACGCACGCACGCACACAGATGGGTGAACCCAGCATGGTGCGGCTCAGACAACATTCTATCTCAGACCCTTCTCTAAGAGGTTTTCATGCCCCGTGCTCCCCTCCTGACCCCTGGGATGCGCTCCTCGGGTGGGAGAGGGCGCTCCCCACGGCCCCCGTGGCGTGAGCCCGATGCCCCCAGGCCCCACCAGCATCTGGGCCCTGCACCATCATGTGGAGCGAGGACCGGGTTTGGCCAGACTGGAGGTGGCTGTAGCCGAGCAGAGACCCAGACGTGCCCTACCGCGGAGCCTGACCCCCTAGGTGTGCTCTTTGAGAAACATCTGGGACCCCCAGCACACCTAGGGACCATCCTTGCTGGCCTCCTAGGGGCCTCTCAGCAATGGGGGGCCCCCCAGGGGGCCAGCAACGATGGTGGGGAGTGTGGGAAGTCTGGCGGTTGGAGGGGCGGGTGGGGGGCAGTGGGGGCTGGGTGGGGGGATGCTCTGGAGTAGGAAGTGGTCCCGCGAGCTTTGGAGAAGAGTCAGGAGTCACAAGAGCAGAATTACAGATCCAATTAGGAGCCCAAATTTACGCCAATTGATCTATTCCCCCCTTTAATTGGTTTCTCCTGGGGCTTTTTTCCTTTTTTTTTTTGATCCCTCCTTAGCTTTTTACGCGCGCTCACATCAAATTAAACTTACCCCCGTCCCACGTAACAGGGGAGCAGTGACAAAGCAATGTACGGAACCACCACCACCACCACCGCGGCCATGCCGCACGTCCTGCTCTCCGCCATTTATCGCCCCGATTCGGTTTTTGTTTTTATCTGTCCCTGTCGCTTGGGTTGAGTCGAGAGTGGGGCCTCCGTGGGGTACTGGCCACTGCACCCCACGGAGAAGCCAGAGGGAAAGGAGTGGGCCGCTGCCCGGCCTGGCCTTCGGGGACAGTGGCTGGTCCCCGGAGGTCCTGAGGGGCGGAGGAGGGGGTGGGGAGGCATCTCCTCGGTGTCCGGAAGGTGCTCGGAGGCCATCAGGAAAGGGCCCCCGGCTGGCCCAGGCCGGCTGGGGGGGAAGGGGCTGCAGGTGTGTGAGTAGAGGGGCTCCATCGGGCTGGAGCAGGTGGCCGCCTTCCGTGCACTTGGGGAGCCCTCCCCTCACCCCTCGGTGACACCTTACCCGCCTTCTCAGCACCCTGTCTTGCCCCCAGGAGGCTCAGAGCTCCGCGGGGCGTCCTGGGGCCCAGGCAGGGTGAGGCCGGAGAGTAGGGGAGGTCAGGAGGGTGTAGGCCCCGCAGAGCAAGGAGAGCTGCAAGAGTGGTCCATCGGCTGGGGTTGCTCCGGCCCCGAGGCCCATGGGTCTGGCGGTACCGAACCAGCCACCATCTCGGCGCCTAGGGCTGTGGCAGGGATCCGGGCGGCTGGGAGGTTTACCTCACCCCCGCTTTTGCCCCCAGCGCAGCCCCCCTGCACGACAGCCCGACTAGCATTCTAGAGGCCCAAGGCTTCTGGGCCCCAGCAACGGGGCTGGCACGACCCTGGGGGCGGTATGTGTCAGCCCACCAGCAGCACAGAGGGTCCTTCGGCAGGCGTCCGGGGAATGGGCCATTTGGAACATTGGACAGAGCTGAAAAGAGCCAAATTGTTGTAATTGGGACCCAGACAGATTGGCCTGAGATCCAAAAAGACTCGGAGGCACCCCAAATTGCCTGCCCATCCTGCCAGACACCCATCCCACCCAGTGTTACATTCTGCCTCTCACGGGGTGGGTGCTCCAGGGCCGTCTGCCGACGCTCCTCTGTGTCCCCCAGCAAACAGCTCCCCCAGGGTCCCCAGCCATCCCGACCCGGGCCCCCGTCTGACCTCCCGAGCCCCGGCTGTGGCCGTCCATCTTTTCTCCCCCCTCAACTGTCTTCAGCGGGACCCCCTCTTGGGTCCCCCCTGTCATCGCCTGAAGACCCCCCACGTGCCGAGCACCCAACGTCACCTCACCCACTGTCGCAGTCCATCTGGCAGTGGCCGTGCGGGCCTCAACTCGACCCCTTTAACATGCTCATATTTCTGGCAAAATTCATTGCTTGGGTTTTGTCTTTAACATTTATCGCTCGCAATCCCAATAAAGCATTCAAATTTATCTTGTTCTGAGTCCTCTGCTCTTTCACGCGCCTACGGGGTCAAGGAGGGAGGGGGCGCCTGGGGGTGCGGGCACCCCTCTGCTGCCTCACAGCACGCATGGCCAGTGAGAACAGCCTGAAAGCCTGCACACTCTCAGCAGCGACCGTGGCCGGGGCTTGGGGCCAGGGGCTCTGGGACAATCTTAGCCACCAAATCCTCAAAGATGGGGTGTCCTGTGGCAGGAGGGGCCCCGGGGGGGCTGGTTTCCAGGAGCCACTGATGAGAAGTGAAGTGCCTTCACTGCCAATCCCAGGGACCTCTCCCAGCCTGGGGGAGGGTGCGGGGTGCCCACCAGGTTCTAAAATGTTCTGGAAACTAGCTGTTGCTAGAGACGGGGATTCATGTCGCCTGACGGCCCAGTGGCACACACAGACTTGCTCAGCCTCCCCCCAAGATGGAGGCTGCAGCAGAAACCCCCTCCTCCTCAGCCCTGAACCCCCTTCCCCCACTGCTCTGGCCGCCGAGCTTTAGGGTCCCCGGGCTTGTAAGAAGGTGGTGAGGTTGGCATCGGTGACGCTTGAGGCCCGAGCTGGACACCTCCCCGCCTCGGCCCCCCAAGCCCTGGGTCTGCAGGTACAGCGTGGTGGGTAGAGGGGCGGTGGGGCCAGGCAGCTTTCAGCGAGCAGACTCAGGGCTCTGTCTGGGTTGGGGGAAGGCCTCCCACCCTGAACCCCGTCCTTCTTTCTGTTTCTAGTATTTTCGAGTATTTCCTGGCCTGGTGCTGGGCTGCAAAAGGCTCACAACAAGTCCTCCAAGGGCTCGGGTGGTGTTCACAGGCTGTCCACACTCACTGCTCTGAGAATTCCAAGCAGAGGGCTGGGGGGCTGCCTGGAGGAGGTAGGACCAGCCTCCAAGGGTGAGGGCAAGAGCCAGGTGGATAGGGACACTGTGCCCATCTTGGGGCAGCCTGAGGCTGACTGCGGCAAGGGCTGGGGCCCAGGTGGGGCAGTGCTGGCACATGCCTCAGTGAAGCACCCTGCCCTGGTCTCCCCACCCTGGAGACCAGGTCTGAGCCTGTCTCCCACCAGCCCGATGCACCACCCGCCCCCGAAGATCCACTGAGCCCTGCCTGGCTCCACTCGTGGGACCCTTGGGGCACTGGGCTCAGGGTCCTCTTCCTCCCAGCTCTGGGCTAGCCATGCCCTCCCTAGCTGCCCCCACCGGCTACACCCAGGGTCCTCGCTCACAACCTCCTCTCCCTCACTGCAGCCCAGCCCACCCGCACCCCTGCCTGTGCTGGCTTTCCCCGAGACCCCCGCTGCCCCTGCTGAGCTCCTGGCAGCTCCCCGACCCTGTTCCACCCCAGTGCCGAGGCTGCCCTCGCCCCAGCTGCTTGGGCAGCCGAGCCCCCGGTCTTCTGGGATGCCCAGCTTGGCTTTTCTCCCCTCTCTCTGCTCTGTAAACTCTCAGCTCATTCCTGAGGCCTCACTCATTCATTCATTTGTTTGTTCACATGTGTGGATGAGCACCCCAGTCTCAGTGTCATGGAGGGAAATGTTGGGGAGCTTTTTGAAGCAGATGGGTCTCATGGAGAGAGTCATTTTGGAGTGCAGGCCTGAAGGAGGTGGGGCGTGGGGTTCTCCTGGAGGGAGGGGTGGAGAGGGGCCTCCTTCTGGGGAGGCTGGGGGGGGGAGGGGTCCGTGGGGGAGATGAGGCCAGGGTGGGAATGGGGGCCATTGTCACTCAATCAACAAACATTTAGGGATTCCTACAGGGCTGGGCTGAACGGTACTCCCCCCAAACACCCCATGTCCCCATCCCAGCCTCTGGAGCCTGTGAATGCGACCTTGTTTGGAAAAAGGGTCTCTGCAGGGGTCAGTGAGGGATGAGCTCCTCCTGGATTAGGGTGGGCCTCAGTCCAAACACAGGTGTCCCTGTGACAGGAGAGAGGGGGCGGGCCCGCGGGGGGAGGGGCCGGTGGAGCCCCGGGGCTGGGGGAGGCAGGAGGGAGCTCCCCTGGAGGCTGGTGGGGGGCTCGGCCCTGGGACAACTGCGTTTCAGTCCGGAGAGCCGACTTTGGATTCCGGCCTCCAGAATCGGGAGAGAAAGGATTCCGTCCTTCCAGCGGCCCAGCTCGTGGTCACTTAGGAAAATTACACCAGGAGACACCTGCTCTGCCCCAGTTCCTGTTCCAGGTGCTGAGACCACTGTGGAGCAGAGAGCAGGTGGCGTGCCCATCCTGGAGGAGCCTTGGGTCCGTGGTCCCACCACCCCAGGCCGCACCCGGGCACCTCCCTCTGATGGTTCTTGCTGGTCTCCGCTCTGACCACATGGAGCCCCGGTGGTCTTTGACAACAGCAGAGCAGGCCCACTTCTGCGAAGTCCCCATGAGGACTTCTGGGTCTGGGCGGACTCATGAGCATGCTTCTGCCTCGGGGCCTTGGCACGGGCTTCCTCTGCCCGGGCCGCTTTCCCGCAGACACCTGCCCATCACCCTCTTTACAGTAAACTCTGCAGACTCGGACTCCCCTCGGTGAAGCCCGCCCCCAGGGCGATAGGGGCCTGCATGTCCCCTCACCGCGCTGGATGCAGAGGGTGACACTGAAGGCTGACTGTGAGTGGTGGGAAGGAGAGGGGCTGTGTGCTGAGCTGGAGACGTGGACTATTTCTGGGCTACGACACCCACTTGGGTCTCCGTCCCGCATTCTCATGGAGCTGCAAAGTGGTATCTGCCGTGGTCTGCCCAGCTCCCTTGACGTCCTGCAGACCCCTGACCCAGTGTGCGCATGGCCACCCCTCGCCTGCTCCAGGGTGCCCTGCCCTCCCCCGCAACAATTCAGCCGGTGGTCAAGGCCCACAGCTCCACCAGCCCCTGGACACGGCTGCCGCCTGCTCGTCTCCCCTATGGCTGCCCTTCCATATGCTCTGCCAGCCTGCCGCATGCCACTCTCCCCTTAGGACCCTCCATCGCTCCCATGGGCCACTGGGTAGAGTGCAAACCCCAGACCAGGCTTCCTCTGGGCCTTCAGCAGCACCCGGCACCCCACAGTTCTCCGGTCATTCGCTGAGCCTCCCACCCCAACTTCACACCTGCTGTCTGCTCCCTCCTGGGCCCTTGGGCATCTGCTTTTACCCTGGTGACAGCCCCCCTCCAGCACACCCTCCATCGCTCCGCACGGCGACCTCCACCTGCCGCCGGTTGAGCCAGGAAGACACAGGGGTGCTGTCGTCGCTGCCCGCGGCGGGGTCCCCCCAAGCCCTCCTGCCCTGTGCAGCCTCAGCGCAGAGCTGGCCAGGAGGGCCCTGGAGGGTGCCCTGAAGGACTCCGGCACACCCGCCTTTGGGGGCCCCTCACCCAGCTGCTCTCCCTCTCCTTCCTAGAGGCCTCCTTGCCTTGGGCCGCCCGCCTGGCTCTGGCCCCTGGGCCTCATTGCTAGCAACCTGTGTCCGCCCGCCCTGCTGGCCGCGGCCCCCCAGGGCCCCTGCTCCTCCCTGCCCAGGCTTGGCACACAGCTGGGGCTCCCTCCCAGGTGTAGCCAGGTCAGGGGGCCACAGAACAGGCGGCACAGCGCCGCCCCCCACAGCCTCTACCTGCCCAGTGCCTCTGGCCCTGGGGGGCGGCGGCCTCAGGCCTCCTAGCGCAGCCCCCAGCCTCTCTCCCTGCTCCCAGCCCCGGCCAGCCCAGGCCTCAGCCAGCCTGAAACCAAAGAGAAAATGCCTGTTTATGCCAGTTATGCCGAAAGCAAAACAGTTTGTGGTTTGTGACCCAAATTTTTTGCCTTTTTTTTCAGAACATAACAAAGCTCAAGACAACTCCCTCCCCCCCACCCCACCCCCCCACCCAGGCAGACAGAAACGATCTGTTTACACTGGCCGCAGAACATTCCTGGCCCGCCAGCCCGGCCCTCTCCCCCAGGCCGTGCCCTCAGCACTGAGCGGTGGAAGGGGTGCGGGGGCCTGATGAGGGGGACACAGGAGGGGGCCACAAGGCTGGGTCGGGGTGCTGGTGACTGGAGCATCCTGGGGCCAGGAGTATCGGGGTGCCTGTCTGTCTGGTTGGAGGGGCTTCCACACGGCCCTGGACAGGGGAGGAGCCTGGATGCATCCAACATTTCCCGACCGGCATCTGCCCCCAGCCCCGGGCTCCCACCCCTTCACACAGACACCGGGTCCCTGGGCCGTCACCCGCCTCCCCACCTTCCTCCCCACTCCTTCCTGTCCTAATGCCCGAGGCCCACATCCCCTGGCCCAGCGCCGCCGTGGAGCCCACGAGGGGTGGGCACCTTCTTTGCCCTGGGAGCTGGCACCCCCACACTCATGTAGGTGGGGTGGCAGGTGTAGAGCCTGTGATCCCAGCCCAGACTGGGGGAGAGCAAGGCAGGGCTCCTCCTCCCAGGGCTCAGCGGGGCCAGGCACACGCTGGAGCCCCGGGGTGGGGCCAGGCAGGACGGCGAGGTGCCGCGGCCAGGAGGAGGGACTAGGCCCCTGTCCCATTCAGACCATTCTCAGGCCAGTCGTGGCCCTCTGGGGACCCCTGCGTGCCCTGCAGCCTCACCAGTCCCCTCCCCTTGCCTTCCCCCGCTCGTCTTCCCATCACCTCTCCTTTCTGTCTTGGCTCCTTTCTGCACCCCTGCACTGGCCTATGCCCCAGGCTGAGTACTGCAGAGCCAGAGCCTAAGAAGAGGGAGTCTCGGGGGCCAGGACTCCAACGTATGGGGGCACATCCACAGACTCGCTAGTGGGGGTGAGGCAAAGCTGCCCCAGCAAAGCCCACACCTGAGGAAGATGCCCAGACCGCATCTGGATGGTGCGTAGGCGCTAGCAAGATGAGGAGGGCTGGGAGGGCATTGTAGGTGGAGGGAAGAGCATGGGCAGCTTTGGAACGACCTGCGGTTCTGTGTGAGCAAGGCCCAGAGGTGGATGCATGGAGAGGGACGTAAAGGCCCATGGCAGCCACGGATGCAAGGGCCCTGAGCGCCGAGCCAAGAAGCTGAACTTGACCTTGAGAGAGCTGTGGGCAGCAGGGGAGGATTTTCGAGGGGAGAGGGAGACCTCTCTGATGTGCGTTCTAGAAAGAGGGTCCAAGCATGGGTCGAGCTGAAGCCAGAGGGTTAGCAGGCAGGTGAGGGGTGGAGGGGACAGAGCAGGGTGGGGAAGCGCGTCAGCTGGGAAGTCCCTGCACGTGTGCCCTGGTGCGGAGGGGGCCGGGGGGGGGGGGGACGGGGAGCATTTCACCCCTCCCCCAACCCCAGAGGGCAGGCCCCAGCTCCCCAGTGTGGGGCTGGGGGGTAGGCGCAGGGGCCCATCCTGCTGCAGGCCCTGGACACAGTCCCGTGTTGCTCCTGCGAAGCTGGCGGCCCCCACTCCCTCGCCTGGCCAGAGCATCATTTTGGAAGGTCTGGCCCCTACCTCTGCTTCCCTCTCCCCTCCTTGTCATCCCTGGCCTCCCCTCGATCAGGAACAGATGTGCCTCTGGAGCAGGAATTCTAGCTATTTGGTTAACCAGTCACTCAAGGGACTTTCTGATAAGGCAATTCGGTTCTCAGCAGAGCCAGGGAGGGGGAGGAGCAAGGACAGGGACTCCCACCCCCACCTTCCTTGCACCCCGGGGCCTGGGGTGCTCCCAGCTAGGGTCTCCCCACCAGCTGGCAGCTCTGGGGAAGACAGGTTTTCCAGGCCTCTCGTGGTGCTGAGGTGTCCTGGCAGGTGGGGGGCGGGCTGAGGCTGCCAGTGGTCTCCCACCCCCTGGACCTGGGTGCAGCCAAGCTCCACCCTCCATAGCCCCAGCATGAGAGCTCGCTGCCTGCCTGCCATCCGTCATTCCTTCCTTCATCATTTACCCAGCCAATGAGGCCCTGGAGCCATGGAGATGAGGAAGCCTCCATTCCTGCCATCAGAACAATCAGACCATCAGAGTGAAGGAGGAAGCTGCTGTGTCAGCTCAAAGACAGATGACTGAGGACACAAGGGCTACCTTTTCCAAGTCCTTCCTGATACAGGTGTGGGGAGCGACCACCTGGGGCTCCTCGCCTGGGGCCCCGATCCTCTTCCTCTCCAGGCAACCCCCAATAAACAACAACTGACTCCCTGCTTAGGCAGGCCCTACAGCAGACCAGCCCTGCTTGGACCTTGGGGGTGGCAGTCCCTGGAATTAGTCACTCAGATCTGCCACTTTGGGTCCCTGGTTTCCCAGAACCCAGTACAGCATCCGATCTTGTTCTACTCCATTCATAGCTGCAGACGGCTGGGACCACTTTGACCCTTTATTTGGTTTTCCAGCACTTAAGCTCTTGGCTTATATCTCCCAGCCATGGACCCCAATGCCTCGCCCAGTACCTGATATAGAGTAGAGACTCACTGTGGGCTCCATGAACGGACAGATGGATGAAAGGGTGGATGGGTGGATGTATGTATGTGTATACGTACATACACATGTGTATGTATGTATAGATGGGTGGAATGTGTGGGCAGGTGGATGGGTGCAGGGGTGGATGGAGGGGTAGGCAGAGGTATAGATGGATACATGTACAGATGGATATGTAGATGGGTACGTGGCAGCTGCATGAAAACAAATATCTATCTGTGTGGTCGCTCGAGACTGTCCTAGTGGGGAATGAGGGAGGACTGAAATTTATTGAATGTCCATCCTCATAGAAATTCTATGTGCTGATTCAGATTGTTATATATCCTGCTTTTAGAGTAGGGAACATAATACGGGTTGAAAGATATTTGTTGACTAAATGGAATTTAAAGGTCTTGTTTAAGTGAACACCTATCTGGAAATTGTCTCAAGAGGACCTAAAAAATCTGAACATGTAGGTAAACAGGTTGTGGACTGAAAGTCCTAAAATCCTACCTTAGAAAAAGGCACAGGGCCCAGAGAGTTTTACAGGCAAGTGTTTTGTTTTCGTTTTTGTTTTTTTTAACGCTCAAGATCATTCTTCTGCACAATGTTTCAAGCATAGAATATGGACACAATTCCAATTCATTTTCTGTGTCCATATAACCCTGATCCCAAGGCCTGATCATGATAGCACAGAATGAGGAAAAACCGCAGACCAAGTTCACATGTGAGGATAGATGCACAAATTATAAAGAAAAGAATTAGCAAATTAAATCCAGCAGTGTACTGAATTAAAGTAATAATATACCATGACCAAGCAGAGTTTACTTCCAAGAATGCAAGGATGACTCAACGTGAAGAAATCCATTAATATCATCATGTTAATAAGCCAAAAGAAGAAAAGCCATATGATGATATTGATAGGTGCCAAAAACATATTTAATAAAATCTAACATGCACTCCCAGTTATAAAATGTGTTTCACAGGCTCGGAATAAAAAGAAACTTCCTTAACATGAGAGAATATCGACAGCTTGCCCTGCCACCCTCTATCCCAGCCTGCTTCACATCACCCTCTGAGATGACCCTCCTCATCAACTGAGGGCATTCCTGTAGTGGACTTCAATAGACACTTCTTTTCTTTTTTGGATGTGACCCCTCAGGAGCATCTGCTGCTGCCAACCCCACCCTCACCCCCATCCTGAAACTCATGTTGGTTCCAAGTATGGAGGATGCTTTCTGTATGGGGTGCTTCTGACAAATCAGCCCTTCTGCAGATAACACCCTTAAACCCTGGACAACAAAGAAACCAACAACTCCCCAAGGGCTCTAGAGAGTTGGCAAAAGTAGGGTAGTCATAGTACGGTGTAAGCATCTAAAATCCCCATAGAAACCCTGCCATCTTTCTGGCTGGAGGTGCTAGGAGGAGCCTGGGGCAATTGAGGTCATTGGAGACTAAGATGGGAATCCCCAAGAGAGGCAGAGGAGGGGGCATCCCAAATTCTCTGTATATGCTCTGCCCAAGTTGCTGGCATGGGGCAGACTGAAGGCAGCCCGGATGGAGATGTGAGCCACCTCTTTGCGCACGTGAGTCTGCAGTTGGAGCCCAATAGAGCTAGTAGCTAAAACAAATGCATCGGCACTCCCCAGAGAAATGCCACACACCCACAGTCTGCGCAACAGAACGTTCGCGGAGCCCAGGGCGCAGTCCAAAATTACACGGTGTACGCGAGGGCCAGGAACGTGTGTTTTCCCTTCAAGGGAAAAGATGATGAACCAAGGCCCACTCTGAGGGACGGGATGTCAGAATTGTCAGACAGACTTTAAAGGGAGTACAATAACCACAACCACCCGTGGAGATAAAGAAAAACACAGTCACAATGAATGAAAAGATAGGAGATTCGGCAGACAGGTCGAAGATGTTAAAAACATCTCAACAGATGATTAGAGCTGAAAAATACAATCTCTAGTAGAGATGTATTAGAGATAAGCAAGAATTACTGGACGAGATGAGTATCGGAATGGGGACGAAACAGAAAGAGTCTGTGAACCCGGAGATCGGTCAGTAGAAGTTACTCAGTGTGAGGCAGAGCGAGAAAGACAATTGAACACAGAACAGAGTCAGGGTCAGACCGGGGGGGTGGGGCGGGGGCAGGAGACCAGTGGGTCTCGGAAGGGGAGGAGTGGGAGAATGAGAAGTGAAACACTGAAGGAATACTGACTAGAAATCTCCCAAACAGATGAAAAACACAACTGATTCGAGAAGTTCAGTGCAAGCCAAGTAGGATCAGATCACGCTCAGGCACATCCACAACAAGCTGAAGAAAATGAACATTAAAAAGGAAAATCTGGAGAAAACAGTACTCTGTGCAGCGGGAAGCGGCGCACCTCAGCAGGAACCGTGGGGGCCGGTGGACAACAGGACACGTTCTTCCTTGAACCTGTTCTCCTCGTGGCTCCTGTGACCACTGGGTCCAGTCTCCTTGTCTGTCTTCTCGGTGTTTTGTTCTGTTCGGTTCTGTTCTGGTTTGGTTTTCGGTCTCCCCTCAGTGCAGTGTTGCCCTGCCTTGTTCCAACCCAGGCGTCTCCTCTCCTCCCTTCCCTGGGCGTCTCCCCCGCACCCAGGGCCGGCATGCCACAGTTCCGGCCATCACACAAAGCATCCCGAACACCCCCAGTTATGGACCCCAGTTCCCCTTGCCCGCGGTCAGGAGCTTGGTTCCAAACCTGTGCTGCCCCACACCTCTGGGTGCCTGTTGTCTGGTCTGTCTTCCTCCCTCCACCGCAGCGTTCATCCAGAAGCTTCTACGGGTTGGGGGCTGCTCCGTGCTCCCTGGCTACATCCAGAGGTGGAGCCTGTGTCCCCATTTTACAGATGGCCAACTGAGGAAGGCAGACACTCGGCGACGGCCATCAATGGCTTCCAAGTGCCCCGCATCAGGCATGTGCTGGGCACGGCCGGGCCGACTGGCAGGCTGCCTGCCCCTGGGAGCTCACCGTCTGGAGGGAGAGCCTGACAGCTAACGAGGCGTTTAATGAGCCGATTACATAATTATGGGCTGCAGAGAATAACAGGGCTCCCGGGCCTGCTGCGTCTACCCTCCCCACGCCCCTGAGGCCGAGGGGCGGGCTCCGTTCTCCTGCCACCCTGGGCCGAGGCGAGATCTGTTTGTGGGCCCGTCTCTTCGGGCGATCCCAGACTCGGCTCCCGGACGTCTCTCCGTCCAGCCCCAGGGAGCAGGTGCAATAGGACAGCCTCCTTCTCTTTCCGCCCCTGGCTGGGAGGCCTCGGAGATGCGCAGCGAGTCAGCCTGGTGCTGAGCTGAGGCCAGGGGAGAGCTCTTCCCAGTCCGGGGCCCTCGGGCACCAGCCCTGCACCCCACGTGGGTCACCCCATGACCCCAGGGCAGCCCTGTGGGCCTTTGTGGTGGGGGGATGAGGTCAGCTCTCCAGCCCCAACCAGGCCTGGCCTCACCTCCGATTCTGAGTGACTTCCTGCCCCGGAGGCAGAGGTGAGCCCCTTGTGTGCCGAAGGAGGGTCAGCATTCCATTTCCCCAGCTCAGGGAGCAGAGGGGGTCCTCTGTGCACAGCCTCCTGCACGTTCCCCACAACCTGGGGTGCAGGCTCTGGGTGGGATCTCCAGCCCTGTGGTCCAGGGGATACCTAGTCAGGAGCAGGAGAACAGGGAAGCTCGAGGTTGCTCCAGGAGCCCAGCTGGGAGATCCTCTGGCCCCTCTGGCCCTCCGGCCCCAGGAAAAATGGCCAGCAGCTTGGAGGCACGAGCAGAGGGAGGGAGGGAGGCACGTGCCCCCGCGTCCAGGCTCCCTTCTCCTCTGTGTCCCGGGGGGCAGGCGGGGTGGAAGGAGTCATGACGGTGATGCCTGGCCAGGCAGGCCCGCCCGTGCCCGCTGTGGGCCGGGGCAGGGCCACGTCTGTGCTCTCGGCTGGACCGAGGCCCTCCCGCCACGGCCAGGCCCCATCCTCTTGCATCACACAGGTCCGGGCCAGCGTGCCTGGGAGATGCCCTGCAGCTCAGTGACGAGGGGCCGGCGCCCTGCGTGTTCCCGTCCGGCGGGCGATGGGGCAAGAGTGTGGACGTTGGCCGGCGCCGCCTGGCCAGATCCACTTCCAGGCCCGGCCGGACGCCAGCTCCCCAAACGGGAAGGGGGCAGCTTTGGGGTGACTTTGGGGTGGAGCATTCGACCCCTTTCCTGGCCCGGAGCCTCCCAGGAGAGGAAAGCCCTGGGGGCTCGGGGCCCTGAATCCTGGCCTTTCCTGCCCACTGTGAGTTCCATGGAAACTCCTTACACCAGCCTGGGATTTCAGGGCTAATTCCCAGTGACATTCGAGGAAGTTCGTTAGGGAGTGCTGGGCACGGGCAGGAGCTTGGGGCAGGGCCCATCGCAGCACGGAGCCGCGCCCCCACCACACTCTGCTTGTAATTAGCAGAGAGGCGAAGGTTTTGCTCTCAGCGGTTCACCGGGGGGTCAGGAGAATTCCCGGAACCAAAGGAATCCCGCTGCTGCCAGGTCCGAGGTAAAGGGGCTTATGGGGTAGCAACGGGGCTGCGAGAGAGACTTCGGGAGGCACTTCCAGGCCCAGTGATGAGGACATAAATGGCTGCAAACACAAGACTGTCCTGGGGGAGGGGGGTCCGGGGGACATTCACAACCTAGTCGGGGGGAGCCGGGAATAGTCAGGGTGCTGGAGGAGCTCCAGGAAGCAGGTTCTTCTAGGCCAGGCTGGTCAGGGAGGGCTCCCTGGAAGAGGAAAGACTCAGAGAAGACGTGAATCCGGAGGAGGGCATGGTGGGGACAGAGAAGAGGGCAGGCCTATGGGGGGGCGGCAGGGTGCCTGGGGCAGCTCTCCCAGCAGGACTCCTTACACGGGGAGGTTGACTGGGCTCAGGGCCCCACGTGAGGCTGGAGCGGGGTCCCCAAGGTCGGGGGGGTTGCACCCCAAGCAGGAGCCGCAGAGCTAGGACCTAGGCCAGCAGCCAGTTGCACTCAAGAATGTCCTTGAATCGGGGCACCTGGGTGGTGCAGTCACTTAAGCATTCGACTCTTGATTTCAGGTCCGGTCATGGTCTCAGGGGCGTGAGATCAAGCCTCGCACTGGGCGTGGAGCCTACTTGAGATTCTCTATCTCTCTCCCTCTGCCCCTCTCCCCTGCATGCATGTGCGTGAGGGCAGACGCTCTCTCGGTCTCTAAAAAGAATGTCGGTGAAGCTGAGATTTTGCCTGTTCCAAGAACTCAGGACCGGGCAGGACATCTTCAGTCCCATGTGAGGGGCAGTCCCGCCGGGGAGGAGCGTGGGGGCCACAGTGGAGAGATACTTACCGTCACGTGCTTACAGAAGAGCGATGCGTCCATTCCCTCCAGGAAAGCGGCTGAGGGGCCTTGCTGTCCGTGATCACCTTGGAGCTTCCGAGCAAAAAGCAGAACTTTGGGAAACTGGCACCTGGGAAAGAGAAGCCGGACCCGGGCGGGGGCGGGGGGGGGGGGGGGGCTTGCCTGCAATAACCCTTTCATTTTGAAGACTTTCAGAGTTGCAGACAATTTGCAAAGGCAGCATGTCGAGCTCCCGAATCCCCTCCCGTGCCCGCCCCCCGTTAGCACCTCCACCCCGGGGTGCGTTTGCAACCTCTCCAGGGCTGGAGAGGGTCCGGGACTCAGCTGCGGCCCTGCTGAGGATTCCACAGCGGATCCGTTCTTGCCCTCTCTCAGCTCCAGTCCTGGCCCCACGCTGCGCTCCTCTGCCCAGGCTCCTGGTCTCCGGCACGAGTGGGCTTCCCTGGCACGGGGACCCAAGGGGCCATCCGTGTGGCCTCAGGCCCCAGAGCGCATCTTGCTTTAAAGAAACCACCACTCGTCGAGTTCTGGTGTAGAATCAAGAAAATCCCCAAGCGTCCTGAAGGCCGTGGGAACACGCCTCCTCCCTCCGGCCACACGCCCCTATTCTTGGTGCCCGGGGACCGAGGGACACGTCGCTGATGCCCGCACGGGAACGCTCGCCACAGGGATTGGCGAGGCGTAGAGCCCTGCCTGCCGCTCTTCTCTCCGAATTGGTTTTGTTTTGAAAACTAGAGTTATTTTTTATAAAAAATAATTTATGTTAATACACAGCATCTGATTATTTTGTGGCTTTTAATTTATTTAAACATGTTTTAATTTCTGTAATGTACATATCTAAAAAAAAAGTTAATGTCTTAGTTTTAACTCGTGTAAGTAAATCCCAGTAGCTGCCACCCCACGTCAGCACAAGCTCTTCGGGGCCCTCACTAGTGTTTAGGGGATGTAACGGGATCCCAGGGCAGGAATCGCGAAGAACAGAGGACACGGAGGCTGGCGTGGGCAGCCAGTGCTGGGTTCAATCCCTGGCATGCGGCTCTGCTTCTCTGTGCCTCGGTTTCCCTGGGTGTCAGGCCGAGAGCGTAGGAGCGGGGATCCCAGAATGATTTGTAAGGCAATTCCTCTTTGTCCCTTTGTTGGGAGGGCTTTTTGGGTCATATGCTGTTGTTTTAAATTCATAATGTTCTTGTCTCTGAAGTCTTAATGCTATTTGTACAAATAGTTGGGTCTCTTACCAGACTTCGTTTGCTTCCCATGGAGCTATAGCCCTGTCTCCGTGGGGCTTTATTAGGGTGTCCCTGCGACGTGATCTCACGTCCGGCTGGTGAAACCCCTCTCTGTCCTTCTGTTTGATTACGTTGCCGTCAGCCAACCCGGGTCTCCCGAACCTAGCTGACACACACCCTTCCTCCCCCGGGGTCAGCAGGGAGAAGTCCGGGGCCCCTGCCCAGGGAGCTATCGGAGGCCCCACGCTGCTCTGGCCCCGAGATGCGAGACGGGGGTCGGGCCCGCTGTGGGTACCTGCATCCAGCAAGCAGCAGCATGCTCTGCGGCTCTAGCACCACTGTCTGGATTGCTGTCCCTGCCAAGGGGATGCCAGCCCCTGTGTCCATGGGGCTTTGAGAGGGGCTGTGGGGGACAGGCCAGGTGGCCCTGCCACTCTGCCCAGGGCCGCTGTATGGGAACCTTTCCTTGCGAGCTCCCATTGACGGGGAACTCACTGCCAGTCCCTGATCTAGGCTGTCCTCCTGGGACCCCACCTGCCCCCTCCTCAAACCAGTCAAGGGCCCCCCTGGGGGCTGGGCCGAGCCCACATGCTCCCTCCTGAGCACACCTCCGAGCCGAGCTGGTCCCCTCTGAGCATCCCCCTCAGCCTGTCCCAGCTCTTTCCCCTCCAGTGCTCCAGGGAGGGGCCCAGCGACACAGCTCTGGCCCCACCGGGACCCCAGGGCCATGGAGGGAGGAAATCCACGTCTTCCTGGCCCAGAACCGCATCTGACCTTGGAGGAGCAGGCTGGGGGCTGGGCTGTCGGGAACACTCAGCCTTTCAGACCCTGGCAGGCTCTGTGGACCCCAGGCCCCGGCCGGCTTGCGGGAGGCCTGCCCTGACCTGCCAAGCATCCCACCATGCCTTGCCCACCCCCTCTCCTGCCCCCACGGGGAGCCCCTGCTTAAACGTACGTGCTCTTGGGCGGGGTGCGGCAGCCCATGCGGGGCGACTGAACCCCCACAGTTGTGAGTGGGCCGTGTGCCAGGATCCCATCTTCCTCAGACACACCCCGGTCTCCCCCGGCCAGGGCTGAGCCCAGGGGTGCCGCCTGACGGGCTCCCTGAGAACCCCAACAGCCCACCCAGCTGAGCGCCTGGCTGTCTCTGCAGCCATGCATGGGGACCCCAGCCCAACCCTCATGTTTGGGGAAAACCAGCCGCTTCCTGCTTGTGTCTGGGGTTCCCTTGTTTTCCTGAACAGTGGTCGAGGGTCGGAGCACCCAGCGAGCCCGGCGCTCCCCGTCTTTGTGGGGCCTGCTGTTCTGAGGAGAAACTTAA